CCCCATAAGCTTCAGGAAAATAGCAAGAACTAGAGCTTCCATCCCGGGATGTCCCGGGATGAAAATCCCGGGATTGAGACAGTTTCCGGGATTAGTGAATCCCGGGAATTTTTTATCACTCTTTTACCCCATTAAATCTATCTTGGAATATCTGTAGCAGAATCCAGAACTTTCACATCTTATAAAATATATCTCTTCCCTTCGTTTGTCATTCATTCTCATTTATCGAAAGTATACCACACATACATCACTTTTTGTATATGATCATTGAACAAGAAGCACTCGTGAAAAATACGATCTAGCAGTTAAACAAACCGTGAACATTTTTATTAAATCTTTTAATCACCTTTCTAGATGGTACAAAGACGAAAATCAGGTTGTGAGATCTCCATTATTCATAGGTGATCGAAAACCATTGAAATGCATTGTTAAGATGGTTGGCAGTACGTAGTACTAGTCTCAACTGATGAAAAAAAACTCAGTATTTGCAGTTTTTAGAGTCCTTCCTTAGATTAGCGAGCTGAATCTTGTAAAATGCTTACTCCTTCTGGAGGAACTTCTATATTTCACCATTTTCTATCCTGGCTTCCGTAGCTCTCCATCGCTGTTATTTGTTACGCACAAAGGTATGCATTACCTTTACCCGTTAGTATGTAATATATGTAACCCCAAAGCACGGCAAAATAGTTTTTACAAATACATTCATGAGAGTAATCATCCACCATAATCATCATGATCTGTACGGACTATTGTGAAATTTGACTGGCAAACATAACATCACGTCACATTAGGGAACTTCTTAGATGTCAAGAGACATTCATTTGATTTCAGAGAACTTCATAGAAGTTCGTGGAACTTCGTAAAACTTCAGGGATCATCATAGATCTTCAGGATACTTCGTAGAATGGAACATCGCATGAATTATTTGAAAGTTCAGCAAGCTGGGCAGAAATTAAGTTGTACTTATCGAAAAATTAAAAGATGTAAGCTATGGAAAACTCTTTGAAGTACTGGGAACTTCGATCTAGGATTTCGTCGAGTATTCTACATATTCAGAGAACTTTATATATGTTTTGAGTTCAAGAAACTTTTGAAAGTACAAGAATCTTCGTATAACTGATATTGACGGATTTGCGATGATATCTCTCTATATTATTCAAGACTTTTCAACTTAATCAAGTAATGTTCTGAAGATCTGCAACTGTTTAAAAAAATCAAACGGTCTTTTAGACATCCTTCCAAGATGGAAGTTTGATTAGAGAGCATATAAAGGATATGCAGTTGGTCCGAGATTTAAAGACCTCTGGATATTTTCAAGACTTCAGGTTGATCAATTATTATTCTAAAGATATTCAACTGTTCATAAAATTCAAAAAACTCTCTAAATAGTCTCTCAAGGTTGCTGGTTGGTCAGATATTAGTGAATTCAGGTTGTTCAGGAAATCTGAAGATATTAAACTAGTCAAACATTCAATTGGCTCTCTCAAGATGGTAAATCGGTTAGGAAGTACTGAAAGGTCTCCAGCTGATCGAAGATCACAATAAAGTCATCTAGATATTTTCCAAGGCTTCAGGTTGATCAAGTATTATTGTGAAGATATTCTCCCAAACTGTAGGTTGATCAGGAACTATTCAGAAGATCTCCAGCTAATCGAATATTTCAGTGAAGTCCTATGAATATTCAATTGGATCAAGTTAAAATTAAAAAAAAAAAACATCCATCGAAAGCCTACTTCAGCTTACGCATGTCTTGAAACAGCTTCACAAATCATGAGTTGTCTTCAAAATGTTTGCATGAAAAAAATACCTTCACAAAATTTTAAATGTCTTCAAAATGAAGATATGTCTTTAAATCTGGTGTCCCTAGTATTGAAGGAATCTCCATTTTTTAATCTTTTTTCGAAGGAGATGAAACATACGAATATTAAAACAATTTGCTATCTTTGTTCACTTCCCGGGATTTCCCGGTATATCAAATATATATTTCCTGAAACCCGGGATGGTGGAAACCACCGGAAAATGGAAGCTCTAGCAAGAACTTTCAACGAGTTCCGATGAATTATGCGATATTCCGAAGTGCATTTCAGGAATGTTCAGAAAATTTCAGAGACATTGTGGGGCCTTTAGGGATGTTTTACTAATGTATGGAAAACCTAAGGAACTTTAGGGAATGATGTACCAAAATACCCCTCCCCCCCCGACTTGCTCCAGAAGTTTCTTCCAATATACCATAGGGAACATGCATAAATGACATAGCATTTGAAGGCGGAGAGGATGGAGTTTCAGAAGTTGTGATCGTCCATGTATTAGGTATAGCAAAATACGGAGGAGGGGCGTCAAACATTGGTCAAAAATATGCTTCATCCTTTATGGATGGTCCCTCAGAAAGGCTATTCCGTCTTGAATTAAACTTCTGGCTTCTCCTGGAAATGGCTACTCCTAAAATTCGTATCCGATATATAAATCTTTCCTGGCTTCATCAGGATCTGTCATCCGATTTTTTTTTCCGAAAGTTTGTTTCAAATTTCTGTCAGAAGTTTCTCAATATTTGCCTAGGAACTTCCCCGGATGTTTTTCAACGATTCTCAGAACTTACTTTAAACTTCCTCCAGAAGAGTTTCTTTATTTTTTCTTTTCGGCTTCCTTCAGACGGTACAAAACTGTCATTGGATCTAGTGTTTTAAATTACTTAAGTTTATTTTCAGCTCTTCTATGATGGAACATCTTTAGATTCGCTTTTATCATCCTTTGTTCAGGCTGAATTTTTTGATTCATATTTATTTTCAACCCTTTGATGATGAAAAATCTTTAGATTTATTCAGGCATCCAGGCAAATCCAAAATCATTGTAATGCATGATTACACTGATTTATTAGAAATTAATTTTATTTTTCTGAAACATAACAACACATTGTATCGTAACCATCATTAAATACATCACTTACATACAAACCTAATCCTCTAACAAAATTTCCTTCCCGTGATTTTTTCGGGGATGCAGAGGTACATATACTCGGTCTCCAATACAGCAAAGATCACATTCCCTTCCTATTCCCACCTGGATTGCAAGGACGTGGCCAATGCCGTTATTGTTCCTGAAATATTTGGAATCACTGAAAATTGTACAGTTATTCAGTTGATTAGTTGTGCTATTTCACTGGTTTGGTTCAATCACGGTTTACAAATCAGTCTAAGCTAAGCTAAGCTAAGATCCAACTATGAGATCCATAAAAAGGTCTTCAATTTAGCTCAGCATCTAAAACATTTTCTTACCTCAGTATTTCATAATTTTGAGTTCATGTTTTTGATAAAAGAAATAATTATGTATCAAGCCTGTAAAATATGTCGAATTGTTCACGTGATCATCAACATCGATACAGTGGTATAATTCTTCATCAAACTAGTGCAGGACTTCAAGTATAATTGGCTTTCATGTTACAGATGTCAGACAGTAGGATTTTCAGATTTAATTCAAGGTAAATTAAATACCTCACACGCAAAAGTTACGAGTTTAACTCTTATCCCCGGACAAGTCATGAATGACCCAAGCGTGCTAAAGAGACTATGACAAAAAAAAAAAAACAAATTGTCATTTCATGTCAATAGAACAAATACAGCAAAAGGACATCATTCCTGTTTTAAGCTCACATAAGCTGTGTGATGAATGATGCAAATTAAAGTCCGTATTGATTGCTTATTAAGAGCTCATTTGTGAACGCAAGCACACTTTCATCTCTTTTTTTTTCGATCTGAACCCCAATTAACGAATCTTCTATTGAAAATCGACTTCCCATGGACCGGCAGTTTCAAAACATCAAAAGGGGATTACAAACTAGCCGAGTGTCTTCCCACTGTGAACCAGACAGAGCGATACCCAAAGCCGGCCGCGACGTCGACGTCCAACCAACGAACGGCATGGCCCCTTGCACTCCGCGAATTGCTCTCTGACTCTTGCTGGTTTGTTGCCTGTGGTTGTTTTGTTGTTGTGGATTTTCTCACAAAGTTCGAACGGTTCAGTTAAATATAGAACCGTTCTGCTGGCAAAAGGCATCCCGCCGCCGCCACTGAAGATGACCTCTGATCATTCGCCTATTGCTGGCTGACTGCTTGCTACGCGCTCCTACCCATCAGCAGTGTGGCCCCCCGCATCCGAAAGTGTCTGTTGCATCCCCGACTTGCTCATTTCCGTCCGAACTTCCTCACGCATCTCACAGCATGAGTGCAGTAGAGGTAAGGCACGGAACGGACTGATGATGCGGCTATGCTAGCGGTCAACCTATCTTCCACTCGCACAGAGAGATCTAACTCACACACAGATTCAATCGAAGCAGGGCACAACAGAAAAGCAAAGTTCTGAATCGGATCATCTCTCACAGACTTCCATCAGCGTTGGTCTTTAGATGATGATCGTCGTTGATCACCGAAACTTGACCGGGTTCCTGGCGGCTGTGTTTGTCTTTCGTTATTCTGTCTTTTTTTGTTTTGTTATGCCTGTTGATCTTTACTGACATTTTATAAATAAAAGAGCAAACAGATCAACCTTTCCGCAACCGGCCAACGGTCGTCGTAGTCGTCATCGTCGTCGTCGACGTCGTTGGCATAGAAAGTGTGTGTGTGTGTGGGAAAAGACCCAACAACCGGTATTATGAACAGTGTGGAGCGGATAGGCTAATATGCCGATCTGGTGGGAGGTAGATGAGGAGGATCAGGTTTAAGGTTGTGGAGATGGATTGCCTGTGCAGGTGATCGCGATATCATGCTTGTTTGAATGTGCAAATAATCGTTATTCTTGGATTGCGTTCTTTGAAATCTGGGTTATCATCGTTGCACAGCCCCACTCACAGTAACTATATTCGATGCAATATTTCTTATGTAATAAACAATTATGCGAACAAATGTCATGACATTTTAGAATTCATGACAATGACTCAATGCATTAGTGTTCGTGAAGTAACGTTTTACCAACCTACTAACTAGTAAACTTCTCTTTTCTATCAACAGGACGTGCTAAAACCATTTAAATGTGAACATCGTTCCTCACCGGGACCACGTGCTTGAAAACAATCTTACTCCGATAGTTTAGTCCAGAAGTATAACCAAACCAAAAGGTTAGAGAAGAAAACCCTACAGAAGTGATAAAACTGTGTCTTATTTACCCAAAACAACTGATAAGAACCTCACCTTCTCGCCATGCAGTCAGTTTGGCAGTGAAGTAGCCATCACCGTTTCTTGCTGGTCTATTTACACTGGGTGCCTCGTGTCGGAAGAAAACTAATTACCTATATCGTCGAAGTCACGTACTTACTTAGGCTTACTTATCGCTGCAGCAGAGTGAACCTGCTCGCTTCTTCCGTCCTCGTGACCGGTGTGACTAGTGAGCAGTCAAAGGGTAACGCAGTAAAATAGTGATTGGTCTTATCAACGCTTCCAAGCAGTTTTTAGTACTGGAGTACCGAAGTTTAGTGCTGATAGTTTGATGTGGTTGGATTTAGTCGGTGGAGTTGCCGTCGAATGCTGCGGCGATTTTTCGGGACAGCCCCGATGAGATCATGAGGGAAGTGGACTCGTCGGAGACATCGGTAGTATGGCCAGCTTGGTGTTACTCAGGTGAGTGGAGTTTTTTGGTTTTTGTTTAAATAGGAATATTCGTGATGTTTAACCTTAACATATCAACCCGAACAATGCTAACGGACGATTATCTTCATCGACTTTCTCTTCCATTAATCCTTATGTGTATCACGGAGCACCCTCGTACCAATTTTGATGATTAAATTGAACTAAAACCATTTACGTGATATTAGCTGTTATGAAGCATTCTGACATCTAGTAAAAGGCAAAAATTAACAATTTGGTGAAATTTCAAGGAGTTTGGCTAGTCAGGGGTCAAATACTATTTGTACACAGAGCCTAAAAAGAAATATTGCAACAAATTCGCACTATCACACCTGTTTTCTCTGACATGGAGTGGAAGTTGAAGACAGCTCATAGAACATCTCTGAATTTGATATTTTTTTCCCTGAATTTTGCAGATATTTCCTAAAATTTACAAAACTTTCCTAATGTTATTAAATTTTATTTGCGGTTTTCAGAACTATCCGGACGTTTGTAGAACTTTTCTGATTTTTCTAGCACTTTCCTGGAGTTTGCAGAGCTACATTCAAGATCAATAATTTTGCTAGAGTTCTCAGTATTCTCTTGATGTTCATAGAATTTACCAGGAGAACATTGAACTTCCATGAAGCTCGCAGAATTTTCCTGAAGTTTGTAAAACTTCTCTAAAGTTCGAAGTATTTTCCTGAAGTTTGCAGTACTTTTCTCAAAGTTTGACGAACTCTCTGAAGTTCAAAGCACGTCCTTAAAGTTTGCTGAATTTTCCGGAAGCATGTACTTGTCAATAAACTTCTCTGAAGGTTGTTTCTCTGGAGTTTTCAAGGGTTTCCTGGGGTTCGCAGAACTTTATTTAAGTTCGTAAAATTTTCCTTTCGTTCGGAGATCTTTACTGAAGTTCCTAGAATTTTCCTGGAGTTTACATGTGCTCACAGAAGCTCTCACGATTCCAAAAAAACATACTGATGTATGTAGAACGCCCCTAAGATTTGCAGAACTTTACTGCAAAGTTTGGTAGCTAAGAATATGGCTTAAGCACATAACACACATAAGCAGACATAACACCTTGAATATTTCTCAATGTTAAACATCGTCGCTAAAACATTACCGCCTTTGTTGAGCATACTGTGGTGGGCACTACGCTGAACAGATGGCGGTATCGTGTAAACGTCAAACGCAAAAGAATTGACTATGCGCGCCACAGGTGGCGGTACTACCAACTACGATACTTTTAAATTGTCCTTTAAATGCTTGTTCGATGAAAAACTTGCCAGTGTTATGTCTGTTTATCTGTGGCTTAAGTTCATCAAACTTGCCGATAAAATGCAGAACGTCTCCAGCAGTTTCCTAAAATACTCAGAATCTCTTTGAAGTTCGCAGATATTTACTGGAGTTTGCAAAGCTTCCTTGGAGTTTGGAGAACTTCATTGAAGTTCGAAGAGTTTTTCTGTAGCTTGTTGAACCTTTCAAAAGTTCGCAATACTTTCTTAAATTTTGAAAATCATCACTGATGTTCATAAACTACACTGAAGTTCGGAGAACGTCTTTAAGGTTTGATCTTTTTTTAAATTTTACTGCAATTCGCTGAAGCTTACTCAACTTCTCTATAGTTCACAAAATTTCCTTAACCAGGCCTAGAACCTGAAAGCTACGTAAGAAAAAAAATATGGCAACTGCGCTTACGCTCTGGTAACTCTGTAGTCATTCAAGCTAAGAGCTACTTAAACTCATTGAGCAAGAGTAGTTATCCTCATGTGAGTTTGGGACATACATTTCAAAAGGTCTCTTCTTTGACATTCTCTTTCGTTAATAACTCAGCTCCTCCATCAAACTATGTGTGTGTTTATTCAAACTAACATCCACTGGCCGGCAATGATATTATGGAATAAATCTGTTCGCAATTATCCTTGAGGTGACAATTGAAAACATATTTAGTCCGGGAGTTAGAATGTGATAGCTCTAATGCAGATCCAACAACCCATTTCAGAATGCCTGGTAATTCACGTCCATTCCGAGGTCACTTTCACATACAATAAGCTCCGCATGTGAACATTACCGTTTTCAATTGGATAATGGCAATGTCAGGACACTTCCTGATTCAAAAACATGATGTTTTCAAATCCAGCGAGTATTTAGTAATAGTGGAACAGCATTTCTGATTGAAGGCCTGTATAAAGATTGAGACGAAATGAAATTCCCATATAAAATACTCGATTTTTCACCAGCGTGAAAAATGTATTTGACAAAAATGCGATACAGTGAAATCAAATTTTGTGGATCGCATCTTTTTCGCTTACGTTTACTTTTTTCACGCATGCAGCTGCTCATGAAAAAAACAGCAGCTAAGCGAAAAGTTGACGTTTCGAAAAAGAGCGTATCTATCCGATTTTCACTTCACTAGAGGTGTAAACTGATCGATTTCGTTTCACGTGAACTGTGAACTGTGAAAAGAGGAGATTAGGATATGTTCCACAACCATTTTTTCACAATTTTATTTGCTGCGAAATTGTATGGTTTTTCACTTGCTTCAAATTTCACTTCGCTTTGAACTGTATATACTAGGCTTAACTTATAATTAGATTGACTCAATTCGCTGGCTGCCGATGCTGATTTCGTTCTCCGTGTTCTTTTGCTGAAGTTGGTTAAAACTTCCGAATCTTCGGTATGCAGTTGCATCGTAGAATTAGTCGCAACCTATATCGGGAAAGCACTCAAGTTCTTGCCGGAAGTTTTCACAACAATGTTCAACATCAAAATACTCATAAAATAATCATGGTGAATCTTTATTTATACGCATTTATGAAAAGAAATTTCACTAAAAATATTTGGCTCATTTTACTAAAAAAACTCAAAACCTTTCTAAGCAATTAAAAAATCAGTATTTTTAAGCCAAACAATAACAGTTTTTTTCTGTTGTCACACTTTAAAGCTTCATAATCAGTGAATAAATTGAACAAGGAGTGGAATGTAAAATAAATAAACAAAATCCATTTTTGCCACTGTACACATTTTTTAAACATCTTGATCTTGATCTAAACTCAGTCAATGCTCATATTTAAATCATGTCGTAATTTTTACTTATTGAGAACTATTTAAATCATCATCTTTGAAAAGTTCAAGTAATTTGGTATAGTAGTTTTAAAATTTAGCATTGTGCCATCTACCACGAATACACCCGTTAGAATGATTTGATTATGAACCGTTTGCGTGATTAGGTTTGCACCATTTAACACTGTAAAATCAAAAAAAAAATCTGAAATTTTTCGTAGTGGAAAAACATTTAGTCAAAAGGGATATGTTTGCAAGAACTTTAACCTATGTTAATCATCGATAGAATTTAAATGCCGCAATTACGGCCTCAACACTCTTCCGGAGGTTCTGATAATATATTCCGGATCCATATCTCTCCTGGCGCGGGTCCATGTTTGTCTGAGGCTTGCTGTACTGGAGTGGCATTTGGCACAGGAATTGGCCTGCATGACGTGCCACACTGAATAATCCAAAGGGTTGGATGGTGGCATGGTGCCCCATCTCGCTGAAAGATCACATTCATCACACGGAAGTACATAGGGGAAACGGATGTAATGTCGGCCTAAATGCGCCTAATTTGGGCCCATACATAGATTCAGCAATCGACTAAATTTTCAATAGCGACAAAAAATATCCATTAGTACCGATCCATCTCATCCATTTATCTAGATAAAATTGATAAATATCAGATTTTTAGCGATGTGCCCAATCTTAGATCCATAGGCCAACATACTGCCAACAAGCCGATAATACCTGCGTATTCACTGTATCCCCTTCAGGAGTGGGTGCATGCATTATCCTTCCAGATGATGCCAATCATCTCTTCCCCTGACAGTTGAAAATCTTACTTTTATCTACATAAATGAACTATCTTGTATGGCCATTGTATTGTTTTAATAGTACCGCTGAGATTTTTAAAGATTTGTACTAGATTAGCTGGTGTATGTAAATCGGAAATATTTGCTACAAACTGGCCCCATTACGATGTCAATAGCATTTACGCACTGACATTGAGGCGAGTGACATTGGTATTGGAACTATGTGAGCTGGTACTGACATCATGTGGCTAGAGTAACGTGTAGTTATTGATATTGATGTTGATATTTTGCAGCCCTGCCCACGATAAAATTATAATTGAAATAATTTTTTTTATGCAAAGCTCTTATGTCTAGATTTGAAAATTTGTCCTTGAAATGATTGGAACGCAATCTCCAAATAATTAGTAGAACTAATCCGTGTGAAAATCAAGCCAGACCCAAGATAGGAAATGCACATTCGTGTGAAGTTATCATCCGAGTATTTTAGCAAATATCCGCTGCATAGCTGTTTCACGCAAAATGACGAATCGGATAAACGCGACCTTCTCCGAATTGCATGTATCTACAATTCTCAACCACTTTGTCTCAGACGTCATCTCGATCAGAGGTGCGGTTTTCGTGCTGCATTTTATTGAAAAATTTCAACGACGCCATTTTGAAAAAAATTACAAGTTCCGAAATGGCCGAATTTTTGCACACTATGTGAATGATTGCCCATATAAAACAACGTGTGGATTTGAGGACATCCCCTCCTGCATCAATGTATGAGTTACGTAAATGAGTGTGCGTTTGATTTGTATTGTTGCTCGCATTAATGGTCCTTCACTAAACTTTAACTTCTTTTAAACTTTCACACTGTAGTAGCCTAGTGGAACTACCAATCTATCCTCCTCACAACTTTCTCTAGTTAATAAATTATCGCACTAAAGCTTCATGTTGATATTAGTACAGCATTGCCTCCCAACTCTAAATTATGCAATATTTCATGCAAATCGGAGAAGGTCGAGTCAAAAATGCATTATTTATTTTGCGATGTTGCAATAGTGTAAAAATGGACGTTGCCGGACTTTTATAATTTAAGTAGCAGTTTTGGCCTTTTATTTTTTAAACACGTGATGTTTTCAGGAGCACTTGGATTAGTCTAAGAATTGG